TATCTCTCCCCATATTTTTCTTTGAGACACTTTCAATCTTTTAGTTTGTTTTAACATTATGTTTAATTTAAGCGTATGACTTGATAGATGCATCTCTCTTTATTTTTCTTTTTTAAATTGATATTTTTTTACATAATTTTACACTTCTAATTTTTTTAACCATTTCATTTTTATTCTCTTATATTATCATCTTAAATCCATCTCCATATTAGTAATTTATTTTTTTATTATTCTTTATCCCTTATCCTCCCCTCCATATTGTTTTTTTTTTAATCATTCATTGTGCATGTATCTTTTTTAATCCAAATTGTCTTCCTTTCTTTTTATAAACATTAAAAATTTTCAAGTCAAAATATAAAAATCAAGTTTGTAGTTACAAAATCTACAAAATCAAATAATATATATTGACTTACAAAACAATAAATATAAATTACAATAAACTTAAAAGAAATAAGATATAATCTCTTATTTAGGGTGTTATAATACATGTACTTAAACTTTAAGTAGTGACACGTTTTAAAATAATACGATTCTCTGATTGACAACTAGATTTAGAAAGTAAAGGGTTTGGACTTAATCGTGTCCCTTTGAAAATTTGAGATTTGTTTTCGAAACTTTCCTCTTTAATAGAAATTTGAAACTTACCCTTGGTAAGGGAGTTGAAACCTACATCAGTTAGGACTTGAAACCTTGTGAATCATCAAGGGATTTGAAGCTTGTCATTCCTCCTCTTTTCTCCTTCATCTTTTATTTTTTCTTTTTTTCCCCTTGTCATCAAATGAATGGCCTATTTACAGCCAAAAAAAGCTTGTCAAATGATTTCAAATACCCTTCACTTTAAGGTTAATTTAGTAATTTCATAAATAAATTTGTTTTAATTAAAAAAATATCTTTTTAAAGATTTACCACCCAACTTCCAAGATTTTATTGGAATAAAAATATTTTAATTTTTTTAAAAAAATTTAATGTCTACAAGTGCCCTCAAAATTAATCAACTTGTAAATATTTTACATAAAAAAGTAAATTAATTATAATATAAACTTATTTTTTTAACAAAAGAACAACCCAAACTTCAAAGAACAGTTAAACTTCTTTTTGGGCCCTTTTTCTTCTGGGCCTTCTTTTCGGGCTCATTTTTTTTCCCTTTTTTGAGCCCGTTCGAACTTCTCTTTTTTTCTCTCTCTTTATTTTGGTCCGCTTACGGACTGACTTTTTTTTTTTTCATTTTTTAGCCTGTTCAACAAAATGAGTTTGTTTTTTCAAAAAAAAAAAAACAAAAAACAAAATGAGTTTGTCTGAAACTCAAATTCCCTCCCTTCAACTATATCTCACTTTTTGCATTTTTTTAATCTGTAAATCAGTTTAAATTTTTAAATTTTAATTGAAAATTTAGATCAACCTTTATCCAAATTCTATCTTCACGCTTCTATAAATTGGTCTCTTGGGAATCAGCAGCAGCTTCAACTTTCATTTTTTCACAGTTTGATATTCGGCGCAGCAGCACTCATCCAAAGGAGTAGCTTCGGCATTTTTCCTTCCTTCACCGTGCAGCAGCAGCAGCAGCACTCATTCACAAGAGTAGCTTCAGCCTTTTCCCTCCTTCACGGTGCAGAAGCAATCATCCACAGTCTGATAGTTGAGCGATCATCAAACAGGTATGCTCTCTACAGTCGTCCTTTTAGCTTAAAACTTGAGTGTACAAAAGAAACTGTTATATTGTTCTAACCTTTGCTGAATGCACTTTTTTTCACTTTAAATATATCATAAACATGACACGA